GGACGGACGGACGCACACAGGGCAAAACATAAGTCCCCGTTTTCGGACTGCGTCCGAACGGGGACTAATAACTGCAACATATTATAGTACAGTTGTGGTCAGAAGGTTATTAACACAAGATGGTGACCACAACTGTGGCCTCGACATATATGCTCAAACTTATGTAATTTGTATACTTATTGCAGGAGCATTCATCAATAACATTAATAGAGTTTTGGCAAAAACATCAACTTTACAACAATGTTACAGCAGCCCACCCCACCCCATCCCCAACTAAAATCAGGGAAGCTTACCTCAAATATAAGAACTCTTGTTACTTTACCATATTTAGTACATTCTTCAGCTGTTTCTGGTTCTAGATCATCGTCCACTTCACCAGGACCAACCATATTCTGATAAAAAAAAATTTAATTTACTCATCAACTTTGTGCACATATATATACTGTGAAATACTTTATTTTAGCTGGAATTAATTTTCGCTGACAAGACTTTTTGGGTGTTTTGTATGGAATTTATTATCACTGATTTTTAATGAGTTGAATGTGAGACAGGAAATTTGTTTATTTTCAATGAAACATCCCTTCAGCGAAAATAAATTCAAAGCGAAGATAAAGTATTCTACAGTACAAAGCAGCCGATACACATGAGATGGCAAAACAGAAAGTGTGTTAGACAAGAATGATTCTCAAGTTTCCAGATTTATGGCGTAATTATATGAGAAATGAATTTAATTTGAGAAATCTGTCCAGGGCTCAAAATTAATATTTCTTAAAGCATGGCTTGACTGCATGTTCAAAATGTCATAATCCCAGGGTAATATTGAGTAATATACATCTATTTTAGTTGGTGCTAGCAGCCATGCAAAAAATTGTGCATAGGATTTCTCAATTTAAATGGGGTGTCCATAATTTTTTATGAATTTTAAGTACTGTGGTTGCCCATTTCCAATAGAAGTGCATATGCTAACAATTAATTTGGGAAAATATTAGCCCTCGTACAAGAATTTGTAGTCAGTGTGCAGGTTACTATTAATTTCGAGAATGGTGGCCGAAAAATTGGTAATCTGTGTAGCTTGGGATAGCATTTAATTTTGAGCGCTGGTCACGTTGATATCGAACTCCTCGCATACAATGTTTGTCACCCTGGTAATAAGGTCCTGGGTCATAGCTTGAAATAACAAATCACTGCCATTGTTACCAAAAAATTAATTATTCTACTTACTCTGAGTAGTACAACTTTACTAGGATTTCTCATTGCTTCCGTGAGTGCTGTTGCAGCTATTTGTGATTTTGGTGGACCCATTTGATCAGCTGATTGAGGCGGTGGTGGCGGTGGTGGAAGAGGTTCTACTGGCATAACTTAATAAAACATAGTCATATATATAGGATATACTATTTTTTATTTAGAAATAAAAAAAACAAAACAATCTGGAACAAAAACTATACATGTCTCTGTACAAAGCATTAATAAAACCATGCAAGAATTGTTTAAAAGTATCTGTATGTCAACAAATATGTCAAGCAGTACGTCAATATATATGCATGGTGTCAATAAGATGAATATTAAGTATTGCCTCTAATTGTAATTTTCTTTAAAGTCACACAAAACTAATTTTATCAATTCACCTTTCCTGTTGACAACCAGTTATTCCATCCATCTTACCGTACTGACATTCAGTTATCCCCACTCACCTTATCTGCCGACAACCAGTTATGCCATCCATCTTACCATACTGACATTAAGTTATCCCCACTCACCTTATCTGCAGACACCCAGTTATCTCACTCACATTACCCTGTCTCAAATCCCCTAACCGAACCAGTGCAGTACTCACCAGGTTTGTCACCAGCGATAATTTTGCCACCTCTTTTACTCGTTTTCTCGACTTGTAACGCAGAACTCATGCCCTGTTCTGATTTTCCTAGACCTTGGCCTTCTTTAAAACCATATTTAGCCATAATTTTGGCTGCAACTGACCCAGCACTAAATGCACAAAAATGGGGAAGATAAAGTATAAAGATATGATATAAGGTAGAGTATGTAAATTCAAATCAAACAAGTTACAGAATGTAAATCACATCTGTGATGTAAAATTATTGATACCGTTAATAGCAACGGGATGTATATCCTAATATCTACTAATAAAAAAATAATTTTAACAATCCTGGCATAATTATTTATTCATTGTCAGATTAATAATCAAGTGACTTGATGTAAACTTACCCTAAGCCTATAGGTGCTTGGAATGTACTGACTTGTTGTGGTCGTGGTGGTTCTATAGGGCTAACAATGGAAGGAGGAGGGGGTGACATATTTCCAAATGAACTACCAGGTGGTGGTGTCGTAGCTCTCTCTGGATCAGCATCATAACTCGGTACTAATGATTTTGGTGCTAATGGTTTTGGTCTTTCAAGTAATGGTTTACTTGGAGGTATAACTGGAAAATGAAAAAGATGCATGTTATATATAGCCTCTGATATTCACTACTGCAATGATATAAACAGTCAAGTTTTATACAATGAGAACTATGAGAATCTGCATTCGCAAAATACAATTTTTGAAGTTGAGTAGCCTGGGCACTACAAATTCGGATCAGTATGGTAGCATACATCGTTATAGCAACCACTGGGTCAAAATAAGAAACTAGACTATTCCAAAATATCAATCTATATTTGAGAGAAAAATACTGGCTTACTGGCGTTTTTGCTTACTTGTTTAAAGTTCAAACAGGTTTGAAAATGATTAGATAAAAACTAGTTATTGAAACCACAAAAAAAAAGTTAACACCAAAGACGACGGCATTTCTTCTTTGTATACCTTTTTTTATTCGTCTAGAGTTAGGGTTAGATAACAACGCATAAATAATGGACAACTTACATCTGTCTTCGTTGTCATTATTTGCTTGAAAATCTTCTTGTATTAGTGAAGCTGGTGGTGCTATGGCTGCTCCATGTGATGGTAAACCTTAAAGAGTGACAACAATTACCGGGTAGGTGAGTGATACAATTTATTTTCACTGGTGAACAGTTGTGGTAATTAGAAGTCTTACCATAAGGAACAGTATCTTTAATTACATAATATGCAATATTTTAGAATTATAGAGGTCTGAACAAGGAACTAGGGTTAGAGATTGATATCAAACATAGTTCAAATATTTAAAAAATAAAGGCGTATATATATGGTACAATTCTGCTTGGTTATTGCAGAGCTACGTCTTGTTACCATGGCGACACTGTTCAGAGAGTAAGATTTAAAGTGCGCCCTCTATGGCAATAAGTATCAAGTTTGCAAAACTGAAGAATCATGCGATTCAGACAAACCTGAGCGTCTTCGTTCTCGTGCCTTGTCACGTTCTTCAAAGTCATATTCGTCTTCACTGTCTGGTTTTCTTGAAAATCCCTTTGGTGATCTGTCTCTAAAATCCATCTCCAAATCTCTGTGTCTATCTTGATCCCTATCTCTTCTGTCTCTGTTTCGATCTCTGTCACGATCCCTACCCCTTTCTCTATCGCGATCCCGATCTCTGTCACGGTCTTTCTCTCTCCTCCTGCCACTGTGAATGATAAGAAAATATATGTCAGAATCAAAAGAAAAAGTCCATTTTTTTTTTTACCAGAAAATGTTGAAGACATCTTTCACACATATAATGAAATTTCATTGATTTTAGGAAAACGTAACCCTGCCCTGCAATCTGTAGATTGCTATGTTTAGAATAATTATAAAACAATAGATGTTACTTCTATTATTTCAGTCAAATCAGCAATGACTTCACTCAAACCTCAAGATAAATAAATAATCAACACCGGATACGAATAGTTGATAATTTGAAAAATTAACCAAAAATGTGTTAATCGTTTTTTGTGTGTGTATTTACTGTACTGTTTTTTTGCTAATAAAAGGTTGGATCAATACCTGTCTCTGTCTTCCACGTCTCTGGATTGTCTTTCAAGTTCTCGCTCTTTTTGTCTTCGTTCCCGCTTGGCTTTTATAATTTTCTCATATTCATTTGGCCATAATGGATTGTACTCGTCATTGGCATCAGGGTATGATTGTTCTCCTCCAGTTATAAAGGGGGAGGGCTTAGAGAATTGAACCTCTTCTTCAACAACAGGCGGCTATATAAACATAGTAAATGTTTACACAATGTAACCCACAGTCAAATACTTACAATGTATTTTGATCACTGCATGATGTATTTGGTGTCATTCCAATCTGATTTAATTCACATGTAGAAGAAGCTCAAATTTTTCTTTTCATAGTTCGTATTAATTGCTATGTTTAATACATTTTTCATATCAGGCGAATGCTGTACAATATTAAATATTGCAAAAATGATGGATAAAAAGCAACCCCCCCCCCCCCCCAATTTTGGAGCCATGACCTGCATCAATATATTTAATCACTATGGGTGTTGCCTCTGCCAATCTACAAAGCTGATGAGAAGAGCTACAGCTGCACAAACATTCGTTGTAGAGTTGTGGACATTACAATAAAGCAGTAACTTCATTTAAAATGCTAAATGAAATTTTAAATTTTAGATGGTATTATTCTAACATTCAGTTATCCCACTCACATATATTTGCTTGTTACAATCACTATTTCACTGACATTTTTTTAAAACTTAACTTGGTAATGGAATTGTAGTTTTCTGTAAATTCAATCATGATGATAACTATTCAAACAATGGGAGACACATAAGCACCAGTACAGTGCTTAGCATGTTCCCCTTGCATCAGGGAGGTTCTAGGTACAATTATCAAAGCTAACTGTGTATCCAGAAGTATAAAACAGTGTACAGTCTGCCGTGCTGTTCAAACAGGCGACCATCAGGTGCGGGGTAAAAATAAAAAATAAAATTAAAAAAAATTAAAAAAAAAATTAGGAAGTCTAATACCTACCTTGGGTGGTTTACTGTACACAAGCTGAGGAGGTGGCATAAAGTCACTTTTTTCTTCATTACTTTTCTTTAAATCCACCACAGGTGGTAGAGTGGTGTGACGTATTCTACGTTGTGCCTCAGTGAGAGCTGCTTTCTTTATCCTCAACTGAGACTGCATTAACCGTATACCAGTTGACCAACCAGCTAAAATGTACAAATACACAGAAGGGTTCAGATATTCTTCAGTCATGTCTCAAGTAAGAAACAGGGGAACAACAAAGTTCCTAAGCAAGCTTCTATAACAAACTATATATCATCTGAAATTTTAGATATAGCCAAATATTGTAGTGCATATACTGCACCAATAGTCTTTTAGATGCTGTATTCTCAGGGGCAGAGCTAAATCACAGAATGTTCTATGTTGCTAGGACGCGCAACACTGCACAATGCATTTCTAATGACTATGTGAGCTGCTGTGGAACGACAGTCAAAGAGGTACTGGAAACAGCTTACGGTAAGTAAAGTAATTATGTTTAATCCACTTTTCAGGAGAGTCTCAACAACTAGCCATAAACTAAAGTTTGAGAGTTTCAACTGTTTTCACTAGTTGTAGTTGTCAGGCGGTGAAAAAGCCCAAATAGAAAAATAATAGAAAGTACCGGTATACTAAAACATTGTCTCCTTATCACATAATTGGCCCACAGAAAACAAAAAAAGTTTTTGGTCAATTTGCATGTTTTTATAAAATGAAAGTTTTCATTAAAGGGTGACGTACACAACATATGTAAAATACATTGTTTACATGAAATTTGAACATACGATGCAGAACGCCACCACACTTTTGATTTTTCATGCACATGAATATTTTTTTTTTGTTTACCTAAAATTTTGCCAAAAACAACAAAAAAAGCTGTGTTGAGCATGTTTGCAACTGTGAGTGAAATGATTAGAAATATGGGCCTAAGTCATGCCAGCACATATCGATTAAATTATGCCATACATATATACAGATACATTCATGAATGCAGTTGGGCTCTCTAGACCTGGAACACTTATCAGTCCAAAACAATACAATGCACATTTCTAGTACACACATTTAACACTTTGATCTAAACTATGACAGAGCTTGAGATTTCACAAAACAAAATGGCTACTACCTATAGTCACATGACCAAAACAAGCAGCCTATCGGCTGAGATAGCTCCGCTGTTAGCAATGCACATTTCAATTAAAGAACTGAAGACATCATTAGAAAATGAACAATATGTATGGTATCAAAGCAATCGGACTTACAGTTTTTAACAAGAAGTCGAAAATATCACTTTCTACCAAAAATGACAAAAATTTTCACCAAAATTAGAGAATTTAAGATATCATCAAGAAATGAACAAATCTGAGAGAGGTCTACATGTAGTATCTATATATGTAATATCAAAGCAATTGAACTTTTGGTTTTTAACAAGAAGTCGAAAATATCACTTTTTACCAAAAATGACAAAAATATTCACCAAAATTAGAAAATTGAAGATACCACAAAATGAACAAATCTGAGAGAGGTCCACATGTAGTACCTATATATGTAATATCAAAGCAATCGGACTTACAGTTTTTAACAAGAAGTCTAAAATATCACTTTTTACCAAAAATGACAAAAATATTCACCAAAATTAAAGAATCTAAGATATCATCACGAAATGAACAAATCTGAGAAAAGTCTACATCTAGTATCTATATACATAATATCAAAGCAATTGAACTATTGGTTTTTAACAAGAAGTCGAAAATATCACTTTTTACCAAAAATGACAAAAATATTCACCAAAATTAGAGAATTGAAGACATCATCACAAAATGAACAAATCTGAGAGAGGTACACATGTAGTACCTATATATGTAATATCAAAGCAATTGAACTTGCGATTTTCAACAAGAAATCAAAAATATCACTTTTTACCAAAAATGACAAAAATATTCACCAAAATTAGAGAATTGAAGATATCATCATGAAATGAACAAATCTGAGAGAGGTCTACCCAAGGTACATACATATACACCAAGTATCAAAGCATTCAGGCTTGTAGTTTTCAAGAAGAGGTCGAAAAAGTAAAACATTGACACGGACGACGACGGACGACACCGGACAATCACTCATATGATAAGCTCCGCTCGACAAAGTCGACAGCGAAGCTAAAAATATCATGATTGCTAAAAACAGGCACTGCAAATGGAATGTGTTTTTTTCTCCATCAGATCGCATTCTGGAATGCAAAAGGAGTCCAAGTCACGTCATTCACTGCACCAAACAAGTGCCAGCCAGATGTAACGCTTGAAGAAAAGTGATTTAGCATACAACAAAACTGGCAATCTGAATTAAAATGATGAGAGAGGACAATCAATCTGTTTAGATCCAGTCATTCAACTTAGCTGTCAGTAAAGCAGAGAACAAAGTAACTGATGTTGCATATTATTCTAATAACTCAGCAAAAACTTTTGAAAGATGACATCAATCACTACCATACAATAAAAATGCATTAATTGACAAAACATGTACACTCAATACTTACATACATGTAGTTTAGTAAAGTTAACAGACCAATTTTGATTATATAGGTAAAATAATACTGAGTACTATCTACTCTACTCTACAATCATTTATATATGGGTATCTCTAGAGGCAATTTGCAAGTTTTTCTGCGACTTTTGGTGACTCGAAGGAAAACTTGCAAAGAGGCATGACTCGTCTCGCAAAGTACCTCTTGAGATACCCATACATAGCTCGAACAATCCATAATCATGCCAACACAATTGCCAGGTTTACATGGTAGCATTGAATCAGAGCCAAATTATTGCTCCTTTCTCAAATTAAGATGAGATTATGGGTACATGTGGTCCAAAATTCAGCCTGGTACATTAGAATCAAGATGGAATGATGTGAGTTTTGGCTCTGATAAAATGCTGTTTAAACGAGGTACGTGTTTATATACACATGTATGGGATGGAATGGTACAGTCACAAGTAATATTAATTAACAGCAATACTACTTAAGATAAAATTAATTCATATCACAAATCATAATAAATTATAAAAGTTGACATTTTTTGGAAATGTGTAATAAATCACTAAAGTGCACCAATATGCTACTTGAAACAACACAACACAAACTTTCTGTAATGCACTGCACTACATTACACTACATTACATTACACTACACTACACTACACTACACTACACTACACTACACTACACTACACTACACTACATTTTCTAAGCATGCTTTGCACACAAAAATATTGATTTTTATTAACATAATGCCTGCTGAAAAGCCTCGGCAGATAGTCAAAATAAATGCGAGAAAAACTGTGTCATCAGGCATTGTGTTACACTCCTCTTTAAAGAGTAGATTTCAATGGATGGATAATAAAAGTTTTGATTAATATGCAGTGGATTTTTTTTTATATTCTAAACTGCATATTGATATATGAATGTGTTCTCCTTACAAATAATCATAATGATACTTTACACACAAACCTTACTATAAATTCAATTCACAAAACAAAAACAAATTACTCACCAAGATCGGATTTCTTTGCATCAGGTGTGTCTTCCTTCTTGGGGCCTGTATCTAGCCCCAATCCATCATACAATGACATGATGGCTACTCAGTCTCTGTTATAAAACACTGAACATGTGGAACAATGGTGAAATCTCTCTACAAAATCATGGCATGTATGAAACATTCTTTGCTACACAAATCAACACAAATCGGCAACTACATCATTGTAATACTATGAATGTGGATCTATCGCCAGCGATGACCAGTCTCATATATCTGCATGGAAAAATGGAATTCAAAGAGATGGAGCAGGGGCGGAAATTATAGGGACTGGTAATAGTACACTACATTCGTGTACATGTATGAATGACAGTATAACATAAACAAATCGCAAATTTGACAAAAAAGAAGGAAGTCAAGTAAATTTTCATCAAAGTGCATTTGTAACCCACTACCTGTGAAGTTCATGTACTTTTAAATTGTCCTGAATAAATAATTGATTACAATTGATTACAATTGATTGGGGTGAAGTGGCATTTTCCAAGACGAAAAACGGCCACTATTCAAATTTCATCAAAACCAACCAACAAGCATTCATTCATTTCGTTGTATCAGTCAAATGGGAAATTATGCCCATTTGATCCAAAATTAACAAATAAATAAAAAAAACAATACATGCAAGGGTACAAAATCTTACATCAAAATGTTGACATTCAAATAGTTGATAATGAATCACTGCTCTGTAGTTACTCAAGAACATGTGAACTACCAGTATATCATAGTTGAACTTGTTTGTTGTAGGTGATCCGATAAATGTTTCTCAGGGCCCCTCACCCACAACTCTAATTCCTTGCCCTTCTCCCATTTTAATTACATGTGCCCCTCTTCAAGTCACATATAGTTATCTGGAGGGGCATATACAATTACACTGGGAGCTGTAGTGTTAGAGTTAGGGTTCAGGTTAGTGGTGGGGGCCTAAAATTAAATCTTCACACTGTTCGAATGAAGTAGCCAAGGGTCAGCGAGCGAACATTTGCGATGACGTAACATCAATATATTTTCACCAATTTCATTGTGGAAGTCGTGGTGTTAGTGTCTGATACATTGATAAGATTATATGATTGATAAAATTGCTCTTGTTTGCAGTTATCAAACAATACCAACTGCAGATTTATTGTGATCGCTTTACAGTAGCTGGATAACTCTTGGGGCAAGTTGTTTGTATGTGCATTTCCAAAACAGTTCTATCGTATGCTCTAAACGACTGGTTCATACAAATGATTGATCATTTGAAAGGATAGTATCAATATCCTCAAATCGATAATTTCCGCAACGTGATAAAACCAGGAATACATTTTGACAGAAGCGTGCGTTTTCCGAAACAAATTAGCGCCACCATTCACCATGCATTGAAACGCGAGTTCGTTGTCGCTGTCGTTCGCTGTGCATATCAGGTTTGTTTTCGCCGATTTTACTGGATTTATTTCCACACTATATCTCCTGGGTACACAGTTAACCTATACTTACGGTTGAGTCGACTCGAAATCTGAAAATATAGTCGTAAATAACAGCAAACTCTTGCAACCTTCTTTTATAGTAACCAACTTTGGCAGACACACAGACACTGATCAAACTGCACATGCTCAGAAGAAAGTTTAGCTTCCGGGTTATGTTTACACGTGTGCTGGAGAGGTCACGAAAGTATTGGGAAAACTGTCGATAATACTCAGGATTCCGCATATAAGTTCTTTCCAAGGAACACTCCGGTATTGATGTAGATGATCATATTACGTTATAGTAATAACTAGTTTTATTGATATGAAGAAGTGTAACATTTTCTCTAAATCTGAAACTAGTGTTCTAATATTTAGGTTTTGAATGTTTGATGAAGTTTACTTTTAGGATACCCTGTGTGTTACCAAGACAACTGCTTGGCAGACTGAGCTATACCTGCTCGGATATATAACATATATTTGTTATACGCTCATAGGCTACTAGTATGCTAGAAAGAGTTATCCTTGTAAATGGGAAGGTGGTAGTTGTCAGCAAAATGTTAATTATAGCCACAGTCCCTATATCGCTGGTGTGCAACACAATTCTGAATAATAAAAAAGCTACAATATATATATACATGTACTACAAATATTTTTATATAATCCTGTGATATTTTCTCTTAGTTTGACACCATCAGATCACAAGCGATCACTGTCAGGCTCGGATTGATACAAAATTCTGGTGGTAATCACTGATGTCTGCTGGCGTCAACCTGAGAGAAAATATTGTGGGAATATATATTTATCCCATGTATATTTCCACAGTATGAAATAGTGAAGTTGCAGAGTGCTGACAATGGAACTAATTCTGAAATAACACTGAATATAAATATATCGTTGCACGTACCTTGTCGTTATTGTTGAAGCTATAGTGTTCTTTTCCAGCGAACGCCTTGCTGCACTTCTCGCCCTTTATTTTTATATAGATAACCGTCTAAGTTTATGGAATGTCCTGATATTGTGTTAAAATAACTATAGTTTTTGGTAACTTTTTATCATACTGACATTGTTTATATTTTACAAATTTTTTGAAGGATATGACTTAATGCAGTACTATAGATGTACTACGCTTGATGATGGAGAGAATTGTTAGCAAGGGCCCGGCTGAATACTTCTACATCAAGACAACTCTGTAAGTTCCACATTTTTTTAATTCTTTTTACACAACACTGACTTTGGAAAGTACAGCAGAAATAAGGTCCCTACCGTACAAGTTGAACAATATTGTATACACAAGCATCTAATTACAAAGTTACATTTACAAATAACAAAATTCACCAGTAATTAGACATGCGAAAATACATAATATTGCATCTATAAATATAGCTGCTTCACAGTTATGACTAGCTTTGACAAAGGTCATGGTTCTTGTTTGCTAGGGGCAACTTTATAACATCGCTTCCGAAAACATGGATTTATATTATATTCCAAGTATAAGCTTGGTTGGAAGATATTTAGAAAGCTAGAAGTAAATGTGCATCTACAATCGCATAATTATATATGGGCATAATTAATTAGGTTATCTGACCAGCTAATTGATTCATGTCTGCTTCAGTGTTTTCAATTTTGAAATTCATATCAATCATATCTCTTGTCAGATCGATACCTTCATTATAGCACTGGTTGTCCATAATTGTTAATTACAATTTGTCCCAAAAATGAAACACAAATTTCAAGTGGCAATTCCCTGTATTAATGTTTTGCCTTTCATTATATATTACATATTGGGAGTATGGCAAACTATAAAAAAAAATGCAATAATTTTCGTAGACAATCTATCCTATAGTCTGTTAATTATTTAAATTGCATTCAGCTTTACTACCCAGAATTATTTTCACAATTTTATTAACAACACCGTAACTACACAGTGTTCTTTTTATTCCAATTAATTCTTCATATTTTTTACTCTTTCTAGAGAGTTCAAAGATGAAAATACCAGTATAGATGTATTGTTATTTAAAGCTATTATTGTCAAGGCCTTACTATCTCTCTATGGTGAGGTAGGAGCAGCAATTACAGTGGATGTCTTGAAATTTAATGACAGATTGGAGGCTATTTTACGAGTACATAACAGGTAGGTATATATATATAATAAATATAAATATATAAAAATGGGAAAAAAATTTAATCTGCCATTCACATTCAAATTTTGTTTCACATACTTTTGCTTTCAGTGGTTTCCGTAAATTATGGAGTGCTTTAACCCTGTATAGTTGTTATGGCGACAAGCAGTGTGTATTTCGAGTACATCAGGTAGGCATGACTGAGAGTCAGTCATCTCAAATATGTCATCTGTTTTCAACTGAAAATTCATATTGGAGCTAGAATATATCTATGTATATTTCATGATAGACAAGACACATCAGAATATTTAGATATTTGGTCATTATGTCCAATGTATGTACCAAGTTTGAACAAATCTGTCCATGCAAGACTGGAATTTTGTTTTGAAATAGATCATTTATCCCTCTATAGAGGGACTGTGATTTTATATATTACACTACATAGTATAATGTACCAGTATTGCACATGAGTTAAATTTACAGAGATGAAAGACAGTTCCTTTCACATAGAATTTTTTTATTTCAAAATGCATAGACTGGTTCACAGAAAATCAAAAGTGGAGCAATGTTCAGAAGTCTAATTTAATGGTTTGCTACATTGATTACAATGCAAAGATGAACTTTGTTTTTTTCTGTTACTCAGAGTATGCTATATCCTGCTGTCCTATATTCAACTCTGCAACCTCATGGATGGACTTCAATGGAAATCTTCTATAAATTTCCATAAACAAATATTCACACCACTCTGAATATAATTGTATGGCAACCATTTACCAGAGTGTTTTTTTTCTGTTACTCAGAGTATGCTATATCCTGCTGTCCTATATTCAACTCTGCAACCTCATGATGGACTTCAATGGAAATCTTCTATAAATTTCCATAAACAAATATTCACACCACTCTGAATACAATTGTATGGCAACCATTTACCAGAGTGTTTTTTTTTTTTTGTAGGTATCATCCTGTCTCATGGCACTGGCCGTCAACACAAGACAAGATGCCATTCTCTGATCAACATTTATTTGATACTTTACATAAATTGCTTTTTGAACGGTGAACAAATGCAACTACTGTTGATTTGTTGTATGGGGAATCAGGGTTAATGATGTTTATGTTGGGGTGGCTAATCATGTACCTCTTTTGGTCATGTGACATTCATTCCAGTAAATCAACACATCTCTGCCTTTCATTTTTATTGTAAACCAGCTACATTTGTATTGATATGTGTAATTGATACAGATAACTGTACCTTACACCTTGGCTATTACTGTACAGATTTACTTCAAGTGCAACATTAACAAGGAGATTGGGTTACTGTAAAGGGGGTAATTATTCACTGGGTTTTAATTTAGCTTATTTCGCTGACTGGAAAAATGCGCTAAATTAAAACACAGTGAATATGTAAAATTTAGCATAGAACACATTATCTAAATGATAAAACCGTGAATTTAAAACCCACTAAATATGCCTGAAATGGTAAATCAGTGAAATTTAAACCCAGTGAAAATTAGTCATTTTACAGTATTCCTCAACTATTGGAAAACTTGGGCAAGAGTGTTGTGCAAACTCACTACATCAACCATAGTATGTAGTTTCTTAGAGACAACGTCAAAAGGTCGATGTCGGATAAAAAACTAATTTGCTTTAGTTTGGGGGTGGGGGGTTTTCACCTCAAAAAGTTTCCATCCTACAAAAATGATTTTATTTTTTAATGAAGTCAAAACAATCTTGGAGTATTTGTAGTTCGTTTTTTTTTCTATCCAATCATGGACAAAAATAACAGAAAATAGCCAAGACTGTAAATATGTGTGTCAAATGAGGTCAATTTCAGGGCATGGACCTAGTTTACACCCACCCGACAAGCAACTGCTATGCCATACTACTGTCCGATTATCAATTTGTATTTGTATTTAATGGTGAATGTAGTCTGACGACGTGATCAATATTTATTAAGTTTCAGTGGGGGTTGGGGCGGTTTGGGAAAAAACTAAAGGAATTAAGTTTTTTATCCTACATTGAACTTTTGATGTTGTCCCTTACCATTTAGTTATTGTAGATTCCAATAGAAGTTCTTGATAAATAGATGTATTAGAATGGTCATTTCAATGTCATGAGGTGAGCTATGATTATTTATGATCAAATGACAAAGGCTACAATAGAAACTTCATATTAATGTGAATTAATCTCTGTTCTTCTTTGTGCACAGAACAATGAACCAGCTTGCATAATCATTGCATAATCATTCGTCCAAAACACTAACATGATTTTTATTTCAAAGTTGAGTTAATTGCATAGGGCACCACACAGTGTTTCTAATACAAAGTGTCACCCCAGGAAATTTTGTCAAGTTTAACATGTAGTACTGTGGAATACTTTATTTTCGCAGGAATTAATTTTTGCTGAAAAGGCTTTTTGGGCGTTTTGTATGGAATTTATTTTCACTGATTTTTGATTAGTTTAAAGTGAAATATAGGAAAAAAAGAATATCCGCTGGATTTTATTTTCACAGAATCATCCCTTCAGCGAAAATAGCGAAAAAAAAGTATTCTACAGTATGTGTACAGGCTTTTATTGTTTATTGACATCAAGATAAATTGTCATAGAAATATTTATTTATTTAGCACTAAATCATAACAATCACTGAACAGGTAAATCAGTGATAATAAAAATTTGACTCAACTCAAATTGTGGTTTTCAGTGAAAGGATTAATTACAGTGAAGTATCATGCTTAAAAGATTCGGCTAAAGTCTTTGTACGTCAAATTTAACCCAATAAAACAATCTGTGACTAGTTCAAAATCGTCTGTGCCACTAAGGGCGCTGTAGCAACATAACTGGATTACAGTTCATCACTAGGTGGCAGTATTTAAAGACTTGAAAACCAGTCTATTTTACACACAACTGCATAGCAGCTGCTGTGTTGTTACTAAGTCTAAACAAATGAAGTTACCGGTAATTGTTTTCTGGAATTACCTGAGAATTTTAAACAATTGATTTCTTTTGCTACGAAACAAAACTTGATAGTAGAGCTGATTGATACAATGTACTGTAAAGTGACTAATTTTCACTGGGTTCAGATTTCACTGATCTACCATTTCAGGCATATTCAGCGGGTTTTAAATTCATGGTTTTATAATTTAGATGATGTGTTCTATGCTAAATTTTACATATTCACTGGGTTTTAATTTAGCCCATTTTCCAATCAGCGAAATAAGCAAAATTAAAACCTAGCGAATAATTAACCCTTTTACAGTACATGGAATGTCATAGACACACACCACTACGAGTATCAACCAGCTGTACAAATAACAACTATTACTTTTGTATCATATACCGGTATATTCTAATTGTCAAAAACATTGCTATATATTGTTGTTTTAAAGGGTGATGGTCATTGTGCAGCATCCTGTTCAAAATGGGACAATGTACACAACATTGTAAAATACATTGTTTACATGAAATTCAAACACGCACTGCGCGACGACAACCGCTCTCTAAAACTAAGATATTGAATCATAATACATTGCTCCTAAAAAAATTGGGGCCATGCATATTATTTGTGGCAGAGTTGTACAGAAATTTTTTTTTTTTGGAAAATAAATTTTTTTTCAACATTAATATATAGTACCATTTTATTATTTTGAGCAGATATTATTTGTTTTAAAACAATTCTGCCATCATATGATTTGATTGTTTTCCTTGCACTGTTAAAACACACAATTTTTTTTTGTCATCGAGGCAACATACTGAGCCAAAAGGAACTGTGTGATAACAAATGAGTAAACACTAGAAAGTTTTCATTTAAAGGGGAACCTTCCAAGCCCAGGGATTGCACCAAAGAATCATGGGACACTAGTGTTTACGTTATTTACAAAGTTAATCTATCTTTTGTTATCAATTGTAATTTTAATACAGAAAATAAATTTGTTGTGAGATTAGGCTTAACTGGAAGTGCTTCTTTAACAGGTTTTATCACACAGAATTAGAAATGATATTTTACAACTGAAAATTATATACACCATAGTGTGTGATAGATGTGATACTATCAAATACATATACATCACCATCTACCTTAGTATTGATGTGCTGTTCCCATTTATACACCACTCAAATAATGTCTAGGAACAATGCTAGTAATATCTCATTGCAGTCAGCTTTGAACCTCAAATTGTGTTGCTTGAATGATAAAAATGTTGTCAACATAACTTTTTCAATCATCTGAAAATCATAGTCATGTAGAACCGCAATGGCGCTATATTTAAACTGGCCAATGAGTATTAAAATTGAATTAAAATATCTTCAAAGTTATATGGATTACCTCAATTTCCTGGGTCTTGATAGTGGAGTACAGTGATCACTCGCCTCAGAAAGTAAGCTCTGGATATCCGATGGTGTGTGACATTAAGCATAAATTGAAATTGTAATGAGATATCACTAGCATTGTACCTAGGCATTAGTGGAGTGGAATGCATTCGCAATGCCAAACAGCGCAAGGAACATTCTAGACTAATCAACTCCTGATTGACAGTTCTTCGAGCTGGAAATATTACACAACTATGTCATTCAACGCAGAGAAAGGCTGAAAAACTGAGATGAACACAAATTTTGACTTCTTATACATTTCAAAAATGATGTAAACATACAATGTCTCAAAATATCACATAATTGTGTGTGGACTACATGTACTGGAGTCTTAGTATTTCCATATCAGGTCACACATTCATTTCCATAGCATACATGTTAATAAGTTCAACTATGATAGATTGAATTTTACTTTCCACGATGTCTTCGCAAAATACCTAAAAGAAACAAAAATAACCCAGTATTAGACTAACAAATAAAATTGTATCTTGTTCGTGTGTACCTGTGATAGTAACTATTAAAAGTAGCTGTTATTGATGTGAAGAATGCCAAGTGGCTGTCTCATATATTTAGTTCTATCATTTTTATCCAATGAGCATGCATGTATTAAAATCCAACTGCAGTCTGCATGTATGAACACCATGTCATTTCACTTGTTGCATTTGATACGCGCCCCACGCAACGTATACAACACATGTGAAAATCATGTGTACACTTTGATGCACTGCTTTAATTTCGAACTAAAGTGACAAAATTACAGTGTTATAAAAGTCAGCGAGCGAAAAAATAAAACACGTATATTACAGTTATGTTTGTACCTGCCACCACTGTTTGTCAGCATCGTCATTGAAAGGAACTCCAACACCATTGCATTGTAGTGAAAAATAAAGTACGGTCACAGCAAGATGTTGCGGCTTCACTCTAAGACACAAATCACTGTGATAACTGTCGCGTAACAACGCCCAGGCAGTTTTGGCAATCGGTGTATCCGCCCACACTGAAGGACTCAGCCAGTCTTTCAGTGAAACCAGATAATGAAGTAAATATTTATGAGGTAGCTCAAATGCTATTTGAAATTTCAGAACTCTTAACATTAGTAGTTCACAGTTGGCGAGGCTTTCCCTCAGCTCCCAGTACTCATCGTTGATTTCCAGTGGAGGCCTGTCTGTATGCAATGTCCTGTAATAAAAATGCATTAATTAGCAACAGACAGATATCTCATCACATTGTAATCTAAAGGGTGGTGGTCATCATGTCCATATCATGCTTGATATGAAACCCACAAGAATGTAAACAATCCATGTGAAATACATTGTTTGTTTACATGAAATTCAAACACAGCATTGCACAACAACAAATGCCCTTAAATTAGGATTATTATAAAAGCAATTATTGAAGCATGGAGCTCATAATGCATGCAATTGCACTGTCCACCTTACTCTTTATTAACCTTAACCATTCAATTGCATTGGATAAACATTTTTTCTTTTATTTTTGCAAAACAAGACAGGAATGTCATAGTTCTTGTAAATGTAATTTGAGAGAGAACTATAATTTATATTTAGCAAAGAATATCTTTATTAATAATATGCTTTTATACAGCCACCTTGTGTAACAGCCAAAATTTAGTCTGCAATTGCATTAGCTAATATATTTTTGTTTTACATTTATAAAGAATTTTTTTTAATATGAAATATAATTTAAAACATGTTTAGCACTGAACAGAAAACAACAAGAACATATGGAAAACACTGACAAAATAGTAGTAACATAATATCCACTATATGGGACCAAAACATAAACCCTAAAAACCTTAAAATCACATCGCAAGCAATTTATAATAGTTGTGAAAGTAGGATTTAGGAACTAACTCAAAAACAAGCACAGTTCACATGCTTCAACATTCTATGGTTACATCAGTGATATTACACACTGTAAGCGGTATTATGAGTGAATTTCACTAAATTAAATCTGTGTGATCATAAAACTCATTAAAGGCCTTCGCGAAATCAGAGCGAAATGCCATGGGCAGAATTATTGAGGTGTGGCTATTCAAATTCAGGTTGCTAATTCACTATCTGCTAAAACATCAAGACTGTGTACAAGTAAATAACAAAAACCTAACAGTAATTACTGTGGTAACTTTACTTTTTCTTCTTGAATCTAACCAGGTTTTCAAGGAAATCTTGACCAATGCTCAAGTAATCATTATAAATTTGACAAACCCGTACAATCAGTATTCTGATATTCATAGTTGTAAATTGCTGAAAATAAACAGGCATGTTTTCTTTATCTTTTGTCAGTGATTTTGCAAAAGCATGTACACTGATTAAGGTAGATCCATTATGATAGCCTTTGTTCTGGGTCCCTTAAATAGTCATAATGGGGATTTAATTTACTGGCCAATTGTGGTAATTTACTTGTTCTATATATCATAATCCCTTAAAGAAATTGATGCAAAATTTCCGCAACTGGTATGTTGTGCCATGCCCTCTATAGTTGTCACCACGATTTTGAGGTGATAAATATGCTAATGAGGACCGGGAATTGTAAACTGCCAACCAATAAGAGAGGCAGCTTTTGATCTGACTTGTTCTAAGCAACTACAATGCATGCATGACCTGATACATAGAATCTTCTGCGCAAGTGTACATTTACTTTCCTTATTTGGAAGTGTTCCACGTCCCTGCATATACTAAATAATAGCAATTAAGGTAGAAGCCTAGTCATAATTTTTGATAAAATTGGTCATAAATCGCATGACAATGTTCATTATTTTATTATGTACAAACATGAAGCTAATGTCTCATGATACAATGAAATAGCATTATTTTGTGTGTTGCAGTTATTCTTTTTGAGAAACGTGTCCTAATATTTTTTGAAAATTGCTATTTTTAGAACAATTCCATAGAACACAATGTTCAAGAAAAATTGCATTTTTTGACACCTTTCAAAACCCAGATTTTTAAATAATTCAGAACAACAACAAGTACTCCATCATTAACAATATATGATTTTTTCAGCCTATGTCACCAGGCTAAATTTTGAGATATTGCATAATATCTCTGCCATAGAAACCTATGGTAAAAGTGTTATAATAGTGTCAAAATGGCGACTTTCCACTAAAATACAACCATCAATTTCTCGAAAAAAAGGCTGGTGACCCCCAACTTTTTTAGGTCAATATCCTTATATTGCCTTGGAGTACATTTTATTACAATTTATGAGTAGGCTTCTACCTTAATATGCCTCAGAACAGACCATGGACCACAATTTAAGAAAAGGTAAAAAAGACTACAAAATTGGCATGGCTGGGCCAGTCTATGATCTACTATACAAATGTAATTATTTGAATCATGGAACTAAAAAATGCGTTTTTATTTTTCATGTTTGAATTAACAGACTTCAAGCATACTAGTATTAGTAATAGTGTGTACATGATTCAAGTGACTGTGCGATGGATATACCGACCTATAGCAAACATTGAGTATATCTCGCAGTCGGATTTGTTGTTCACATACTTTAGCAGCAAGATATATAGATGACGATGCTATGAGGTAAGGATCGTGGTTTTCCAACAAACACTCCTTGAAGAAACGGTGATAAATTAGACAAGCAGTTGCCATGGGAACAGAGTCCATCTGAAGTTTGGTGCCAGACTCCAGCATATAAGTTATGACTTTAAAATGAGTTCTGGTTTCTCGTGATGTAGACCTTGCCACCGTCATAGATCGACATTCCGCCATTTCTGGGTTCTGGGTGAAGCAAATGTGGTAACCGATGGCGCGCGGTGACTTTGCGTCAAGGAGTTATTTACCGTACACCAAAACACCTCTTTCACGACATTTCCAACTATAATTTTCCACTCAACACTTGTTTTAAAATGTGTGAACGCGTACATCAGAAGCTACCAGACAGCAATTAAAACATGTGAACGAGCTGAGAATCTTTAAAACAAAGAAAATTCGCGAAACTCGTTTTCTCCACCGTGGGCTGACATCTTGAATTTAAAACGAGGCTCTGCACATGCGCATAGGTAGGACCGCCATTTTCAACAGATCTAAAGTTTTGCTATGCTGCGTGTCTGTTTTGATTTTTAAGTCGTGGTATTGTGTACAAATTTTCAACTGACGTGTGCATTTATTAACAGATAGGAAGTCAGGAATTGATTCAAGATGGCCACAGTACTTGTAAGTAGACGCTTAATTAGCATTTCCCATTTATTCTTGAACTACCATTCAAAACTTGCGTTTGACATCTTGTTTCTACATGTCGTAACCCGAAATAGCGTTGTTGGACTGTGTCTAGATCATGTTATTCGACAGATAGCTGCTTTAACTGAAACATATAGCATCTGAAATTGTTCGTAAAACTCGAGATTGATATGGTGAGTAGTATCAAGTAGATTAAATTATTTTTTTCTCGTGATGGATATGTACCACACGAATGATGCTTAGAATGAGATCTGTGATTGTTGTTTTCCCCGAAGTACACCCAGTTTTGGAAAGTTTAAAACCATTGATTTTTATGTTGTTTTCAGGAGGATCCAACACTAGAAAGGATGTTCAAAGGACACCGTGATACCGTGACGAGTGTGGATTTCAATCCTAATATGAAACAGCTCGGTAAGTACTTTTGATATTTCGTTCACCTAACCCTAAATGAGTTTGAACAAAATAGATGGGACACTTCGGTTACTGAACTGTGATAGACGTTATCGGCTTATCATCAAGTATAAAATTGGCAGCAATCAAAATGCTTCACAAACCCATCATACCAGTGTCGGAAATGCTTACCTCTATTACAGTCATTGGGCCCTCTGAGCCAATATGACATGCCACTGACCATGGAGGTGCTAGAGACACTGACACACAAAGATTTGCTGTGAGGCAACAAATTGTGCTACTAGTAATTCACTGGCACAGCAGAAAATTGTACATTGATATAGTGATCTTGAAAAAACATAATACTATAGTTATTGAATTTAGTAAAATGGAATTCACGTTTTATAAACAAAATATGTGTAAATACAAAGGGGGCAACATCGTTTTTGTTTGTGCCTCAAGTTGCCTATAAAGTCGCATATAATTATATTTCTTTCTCAAAGATCGACCTCTCCAGGAGTCAACAGGCTGACTTCACTTGATTTGGGGGGATTCAATTTAGATTCAGGATTCTTACAAAATCAGCCGTGTTATATAGTTTTTATAATTTTTTTTCTTGCTTCTTTGTCTTGCAGCTTCCGGAGCGATGGATTCAAACTTAATGGTCTGGAATTTCAAACCACAAATGAGAGCATATCGTTTTGTAGGACATAAGGTATGAATTAAAAATATAAGATTCTGAACTTTTATGTTTGTCAACACAATTGAACAGGCATAAATATAAACAACAACCAGATAATGCCATTTTCCAAGCTGATATTTGGAGGATATTCATCTACTTGAATGTCTCACTTCTTTGTGTATCTTCTTCAGGATGCTATCATGGGAGTACATTTTTCACCATCGGGTCACTTAGTGGCATCAGCGTCAAGAGATAAAACTGTCAGATTGTGGATACCCAGTGTGTAAGTACCCATGAACACTAGCCTTTTTTAATTTTCTATCTATCTGTTCACATCTTATACTTTTACATAGACTTGACCACATAAAATTTAAATGCAATATTGGTCTGTATGGAATGTATACCTGTAAAAACATGTGTATATTTGGATCCCTTCTCTTTTATTCAGTGTGAATTTAAACAAAAAAAAATTATTATAAACTATTACATTACCACTTTCATACTCTTTCTCAGTATACTAATTTATTCCGAGTTAAAGCAAGGAACATTCCCAATGACATTTTATCATATGTTATTTATTTCAGAAAAGGAGAAAGTACTGTTTTTAAAGCACACACTGCAACTGTTAGGAGTGTAGAGTTCTCACCTGATGGTCAGCATTTAGTGACAGCATCAGATGATAAAACTGTTAAGGTAAGGGCAGAGGGAAATTTCACAGGGGTCCGAAAAACACAGAATCTCAGCGAATTTTGTAAAATGTTGTCCATATGAACACCACTAGTCAACAAATAATGAAAATTCTTAGTTAGCAACTGCAATTTTGGTTACTGCCCTCTATGGTACTAAAGTATGGTTCATTTGTTTTTCTACTCTTCAGTGTTGTAAATATGCCAGTGGATTCGAAAAGCTATGAACATCCATAGCGATGATTGATTTCATTTTTACTAAATCATGTTTAGTATATATAACGTATATTATTATTATTATTTGGAATTTTCTTCTAGATATGGGCCGTGCATCGACAAAGGTTTCAGTTCTCATTAAGTCAACATCAGAATTGGGTACGTTGTGCTAAATGGTCTCCAGATGGTCGTCTTATTGTGTCTGGTAGTGATGATAAAACAGTCAGAATATGGGACAGGACAAGTAAAGAATGTGTACACACCTTTTTTGAACATGGAGGGTAAGATAAATGAGATATTGAATTCTGATGTTAAAACAGTGGTCTGTTCCATTCTTGTCTATTGCTAGAATATAACACTAACAGGGTGAAGATAAGATGTTTTTCCTCCAGAAAATGTTGAAATGTCACATTAACTAATATGTATGTGAAATTAGATGTTAATTAATTAATTAATCAATCAATCATTGTATTGTAAGGCTTTTTGGTTAAAATAATTTTAGTCATGGTGTCTATTAAATTAATGGTTTTTGTAGCCTGTTCCTGGTTTGTAAAATAATATTATGCAAGATCACAATATTTATACTGATTGAGTTAGTCTCAGTCACTGGCTTATTGACTTCAAAGTATTCATAATTGATCAAAGTACCTTTTATAGTAGTGGTATAATCATTGCTTGACATATTTTTTAAAATCTCTTTTCCTAAATGTATGTTGCTTATATATTTACTAATCATTATATCCCTTTATTACAATCTCTAATAATCATGGATACTTTTTTTTATCATGTTCTTATTAAAGCAATTCATAAAAGAATATGCTCATCATAAAACGTATGCTCAGAATGCCAAAATATTTTTTTTAATTTGTTATCAAGACCTGTGGCTGTTGGAAAATAATGTCTATTTGGATCAAAAATAAGCTAAGAATTTATTAAAAAAATACATAATGGTCCAGTTGTTGGCATGAAATTCTACTTTTATGTTACAATGAAGCAAATGTGTGATATCTTTCTATTTATATTTTACAGGTTTGTAAATTTTGTTGCATTCCATCCAAGTGGCACATGCATAGCTGCTGCTGGTACAGATAGCACAGTTAAAGTGTGGGATATTAGAATGAATAAATTATTACAACATTATCAAGGTAAATAATTAATACAATCACTACTTTCATCACTATCTGGTAGTCTACCGGGCACTCAAAAGTTTTTTAGACAGGTTAAATGTCAGTGACAACTTGCATTTCAACAATTAGTGCGATTGAGTGTTTGGGTTATAAACTTTGTTGATTTTAACATCCATGTTTTTGACATCAACAATTGTAGTTTTAAGAAAAGTGCGCACGAGCATATTTTTACGAACAGATGTTTCGCTTGTTCTTGCTGTGACTATTGAAAATACTAATACTACCGGTATGTTCCAATGTTTTTGTAATGTTTTTTTTTAATAGCGCCCTCAATGTTCACAACAATTTTGTACCACAGACAATTTCACTTTTTTTATAAAAACGCTGTGTGGCAACAACTTTCACTAAACGTTGTCCTCAAAAAACGCAGTAAATCATCAAATCACGTAATCCTTACAGTAAGTACTCAAAATAAAGCATCTGTTTATATAAGTCAGTGTTCTCCCCAGGCCAAAACAGCGTCGCAGGCCGCGACGTGATCGGATTTGCCCGCGACGCTATGTGTTTCCTCCGCGATGCTATTATTTATCCTGTGATCTGATTTATTCAGTCTCTCACAGACTGTTAAGTTTCCTGGCTAACTAGTTAAATCTACAAATGCATTGTATTAACGCCAATTTCCCGGGATAATTCCCTGTTGTTTCTCATTGGTTGGATATCGTTTAAAAAAAACAAAGCAGTTCTATAAAGACAAAGCCGTAAGCCCCAGTGTCAAACTCTTTTTGCCAAATGTATATTCATATGCAAATGATATAGTCACACTTGGGGTCAAAAGCCAAATGTTTCCAGTGTGTACGAAATGTATTTTCATTATTATTTTTAGAAATGTAGTCGTACTATTATTCTAGGTTTTGATTTTTATCAGTATTTTTGATATTGTATTTTGAGATCAAAATGTGAAAAAATATATATTTATGATGTAAACAATTTTGACCTCGTGATCGTGAATCCAAGATGGCGTCATCCACGTAAGATCCAGCGAGCGTGAACCTCCCACTCGGATCGCATATCGTGCTCAGATCCGGATGACATTAAGATGGATAATTTCAGCCAGAAAAACTATTATTGCTCGAACATAGTAGTGTAAGTATCGTGACTCGTAACAGTTGTTGTACTTAACCGGAAAACAACAGAAACGGAAGACAAGCACTGAGAATCAATTCATTAACCCCATGTTTAATTTACCAGGACTGAACAGGGTTTTATAGAGTTGCTGATTGGTGGGCCAAGCAAAAAAACAGAAAACTCAGTATTTCTGCGGGACATTTGCAATACTAAACATGCAGTGCACTTTTATTGTATACAGATTGTACATAAAATAGATAGAAAAAAAAAACTGGTCTTGTTTTATTTTTGCCATATAACAAACAATATGTTAATTTATGTTAATTATTTGCTAATTATTATGCAAATTAGCCGCGACTCTATGAAAAATTTCGGGGGAGAACACTGTAAGTGCATTCATTTTTAAACTTTATAAAGTGGTATATTTATCAGTTCATTTAAGTTATAAATTAATTTGTTTTTTTATTGCAGCACACACCAGTGCGGTGAACAGCCTATCATTTCATCCGAGTGGCAATTACCTCATCACAGCATCTAATGATTCTACTTTAAAAATATTGGATTTATTAGAAGGAAGATTATTTTACACCCTCCATGGCCATCAGGTATGTTATCAGTAATGTTATGTACATGTTTGCTGTGATCTTTATAAAATACTGCCCTCTAGTGGTAATACTTGGTCATGCAGGAGTATCTTTGCTCAGTATCCCCCACAGATGCAAACCAGATGAAAACAACTGGCTTAAAATAAACATTATGATACTTTTTATTCAAAATAACCACACCCATTTCACAGTTAGCTTATCCTGTTGTTGGTACAATTCTGTGGGCATTCCCGTAGAGTCAAAACACTCTTTCTCACATTTTATTTACTGTATGTCACTACCTACATTCCTGTTTTACTTCTTTCAAGGGAACCAATCATCCTGTTTATATTGTGTCTTCCGAACATACACTCTATTCTACTTGAAAATATTTTAATATTATGCTTTTGTCTTTTGTATATATATATATATATATCAATATAGCAAATTTTCTTGAGTTGGCAGTGAATGTTTCTCTGGGCTCTTACGACACAGAGTGTCTGACTTTTGTAAAATTTTGCCTTCATGAATGCCATAAAATTCTGAAATCCAAAAATGTCTAGAGTGAAAATTAATCAAACAATGTATGAAAATGACTCAGAATGCCAACCAATAACATATAAAGTAAATGTCATAATGTTATGAACAGTCAAGGGAAAAAAAGTTTGGTCTATTAAAAGAAAATCTCACCTCTGTAATTGACTTAAGCCCATGTGCTACTAATAGAGTAAGTATGGTGGTCACAATGGATACTAAAATACACTTAAAAATGATAAAAGTATCTTCCTAAAAAATATGGTGTTGGCGCAAAAAATGCCTTGTTACAAATTTTGTATTTTGTTTTTCAGGGCCCTGCTACAGCTGTGGCATTTTCGAGGTCAGGGGAATATTTTGCCTCCGGAGGTTCAGATGAGCAGGTGAGGGATTACATGTTATGTAGATTATGTAAACTAAACTTGTTTCCATGTTGGCTTGTTACTTGATAAGCAGGAACTGTGTTCTTATATTTCACCCTCACCTCAGGATGTGCTTGTAATGCGTGGTATTTTAACGATATCATTTGAGCTCACTCTGAATCTCAAAGAGCCTAACCATTTTTATGAGATGTGGAATTCATTCAGTAGTGCTGGAATTTAATTTGTATTTGCACATGAATATGATACTGCTGTGTTTTCAAGAACACTAAGTGCTATGTAGGGTGGAATCCACTCGAATCAACAGCATTGTTAGTGCACTTGCAATACAGGATACAAAGTTCCTGACAAGAGACAGTCTGTTCTGGCAGATTTCATTTCTCTTGAAATATGGGCTTGCTGCTACACACCTACTGTGTGAAGTAAAGTGATGTTTTTTTCCTGTACTGTATATTCTGGTCTTATTTATATTTTTCTCATTCAACAAGTGTTGTACATTTGGTTCATTTATACCAGACTGCCGGTGAAAGTAAAATAAAATTAAAGTTGTACAAACTGAAGTATGGAAACTTTGGGGTTTGGATCAAATTTGAAAATTAAATGTAATTTCCTTACTTGCAATAATATAAGGTTATTACGAGAATATCATGAAGACAGAACAGCTGGAGTATCGACCGACATGCAACAGAGGTCGATGCGTGGCGTACTGTCTGCTTACGCGCGTAATCATTCTATATTTGGAATTCGCATTTCCTTATATGGTATATCGTTGTTATACGATAAATGACCAAAAAACAATTACCCAACATTTTTTTAAGAAACTTTTAGTTGTCTAATAAATTTTCTTTTTTTCATGTTTTGATTTCTGTTATTATTTCATCACATAGAAAATTTTTGTCTAAATTACAAATATATATATTGACATTGTATCATACATGTGCTCATTTTGAATTCAGTTCAAAACTCCCCCAAGTAATTCCTGTATGATGACTACATTTAATTTGTGTCCTTACAACACAGGTAATGGCATGGAAGACTAATTTCGACCAGATAGATTACAATGAGGTTCTACAATCACACAGAGTACGTACCTTAGAAGAACCAAGACCACACATTCACGATATCCATCCAAGATCACCGCATTCTAAACATGCTACTAGAGGCGGTGCACCAAAGGTTGGTTTTATATTGCATGTTTTATCCACATACAGCAGGGGGTTTTCTAGAAAAAAAACGGCAAGAGGGAGCACTGCAATTCAGCGGCACCACCAATTGGGGAGATAGGGTTCTCTCTACCAGGGGGTGGAGTTTTTGATATTTCTAAGTTAAAATGGAGCATTCTATGGCTTCCTTGGGGCCACATGTTATCCCTGGTCAATCAGAATGTTATGGTTGCCAGAGGATCTGCTCCTCAGAGTAAGGGGGCGCAAGCCCATGACATGAGGGCGCTGTGCCCTTATTCCCTTGTTCAAAAAAATCAGGCATTTGTATTTTTGCATTGTACATTACCCAAAGATAACATTTCTAATGTAATGTATTATTAAACAAGTTCATTTCTAGAATCTATTCTGATTATTTGTTTATTATTTGATTAAATAAATTGTAATCTTTTAAAATGGTGCTGATTTGATAAAGCAAGTGTGGTACATATCAATCAATGCTTTGCAGTTTTTACTTTATTGCTTAGTTGCTTTTCAACCATTAGAAAGTGCCTCATTTGTACTGATCTGTGATGTGTTCTCAGCTTTACTTTATTAATAATGTATGACAGATTGCGATACCATATTTAATCTATTAGCAGCGCATTTTAGTATCCTTGCTCATCAAAGAATGTAATATGCGCATTTTGCATTTTCGAGTGCCGCAAAAAGAACCGCTCATTTCTATTTTCCTCAATAAAAGTTCTTCAAACACCAAATGCGTTCTGTGATGCTATTGGTTAGAACTACATTTGTTTGCTGTCTATGGGATGGAATCACTTTCAAACTGTCACAAAGCATAAGAGTTTGCTTCTTGTAAGATATCCATCACTTCAGTCAAAATTAAATGAGTGGTTCAAGCGTTATCTTATAAACACACCTAGATGAATGGATGCCAACTGTCACCAAGGTAACACAATAGAAATACTATCAACATTTAGGATTTATTCTTATTTTAATATAATTATTTATTGCGCTAATTAGTTGACAAACAAATATTACACATCGTATTTGCCCTTATAGTAACGCATGCTTTAATGTCAATTACAGAGTTAATTATCAAAGTAGGTAACAGCCAATGCAATTTTTGGCGTATATGCGCTTTTAATAGAACAAATATGGTATTGATGCTTAAAACCCCCATCATTGATAAATAAGTGTGAGTGAATGTACGTAAAACCTCAACAAAACATTTTGGGCTTTTATGTACTTCATTTGGAAATGCACTTCATTTGGAAATGCACTTCATTTGGAAATGCACTTTGAGTAGAACATATGTGGTACAGCAAAATATGGAATGAACTTGTCGTGCTTTCCCATCTGAAGTAGCATGGTCTTAACTCATTAATATTCAGTAACTGTTACCTCACAGATTTTTCTATTCTTGTCATTTTGGATTTTACGAGAATGGCAGGGGTGCCGTGATTTGGTTATGAAACAGTGACAAAGTAACAGCTTTGACATTAAACACAAATTTGATACTTGTTTACGAAACATTGTTCTTTGAGTAATAACTATATCTGCAAAGACAATTAGAAAAGTCTGGTGACCTTATCCCATGCTCCCGCTAACGATGGAAATGGAATCTTGTTTCTGAAAGATATATATGTATGTAATCCATATCTCATAAGTGGCATGCCGAGATATATTATATAATTTGGTTTTGATTTGCTTTTCTCTACAGATTGATGCAAGGGCAGAACCTCGTAACATGGGGGCGCCATCTCCTAATGTTACTAATGTAGGTCCAGCACTATTTGTTCAGCCAAGGGTGAGTTGTATGATGTAAGGTACACTGCACTGTACAATAAAACACAGATTTACTGATGGAATAAAATAACTTGAATTTGTATTTTATTTTAATTGATACCATATATTTATACAATTGTGCCAATGTTTGCCTCACAGTCCTGACAGTGTCGAACATTATAAACAAAGTATAGATTAAAATAGTTACCTCGTTTACCTGACAGCATTTTATTTGAGCCCAACAGACAACTCAAACCAGAAAAAAATTTTGTGTAAATGTATTCAGCTCCAAAAAACCTTCAGGGTTAATAAGACAGAGTCCGACATGGCCCGACCGTCTAAACGAAAAACCCCAGTCAAGGGTGCTGTTCCAGCTCGGCTCTTACAAACCATGCTGAACTTCAAATCACAACCATATAAATGCGCAAGTGTAACTCTCATCTTAATTTGGGGGCGGGGCAATAATTCAGTTCCGTGCTGCCGTGTAAACCAAGCAATTGATTTGTTAAGGAGGAATGATGACATTGCAAATTTCACTCAATAAAAATGGCAAATGATTAAAACACTTGAAAATCCCACAGCAAGTACTGCAAATGTTTCCTATTGTTTTTACCCCCTGGAGAGTGGTTACTAAGCTTTAATTCCCTTATCTGACGGACAGGAAATAACTTATTGATAATTCAAATAAACCTTATCTCTCTGCTCCACAGGTGAACGATACCACTGGCACAGGGTTACATGACCTTGAGATGACCTCTGCTGATATTGACAAACGAGCTATGTCAAATGGTTTAACCCATGCCCCTCATGCGGAGCCATCTATGACCACCCCTCTCGAAGAAAGGAACATGCCAACACAGCTTTCAAAGACATTAGAACAGATAATCGGGCAGTTGGATGTTATTACGCAGGTGGGTGGAGCCAAACTGTCTTCGATGACTAGTTGTAGTATGTTGGACTTCTGAGTAACAAAACACTGAGTACCTTAAAGTTGCAATTCAGTTTGTTCATTTATAACATCTGTGTTTTCAAGCGTGGGAAAACTGCCTGTGTGTGTAATAATTATTAAGTCGTCTTTGGTTATTTAGCCTCCCGCTAATTAGAACTGATAAATATGTCCCCTACATCGACAGTATCTGAAGAAGCATACTTTATATTTTATGGCATCTCTGTGCCAAGCTTAGCTTCCGTGGAATTGTCATTAAATCAGTAACACACTTTTTGACATTAATTGCATTTAACCACCCCCTCTCTACTTGCATAAATGTATAGTCAATTTGCCATCGCTATATTTAGCAGTTACTTGACTGACTGACCGACCGGTAAGCTTGCCAACTACTGAGTCGTTAAATTTATAGGAGCGTGAAAAGTTCCTCAGGTGGCATACCAAGAATGATGAATTATTTGCTAGCAGGAACTACCACTCCTTGTTTTTTTTATGTAATGTGGGCACATGTCTTCAAGGTGAAATGATGACACCCAGGACATAAGTAGAAAGCATACTAACATATTTTGTGAACAGCTGCTCAGACTTGTGTGAAAAACTTTCCTTTAATACTGGTATCCATTTATGGTGTAATGTGTCTCTCTGCTATTGGAGCTCTGTGTATCTTATATGATTAATGAATCGGGTGATATACCAGTCTCTGGGGGATTCAAAACTTTATCTTGATAATAAATCTTTTCCAAAGTACAGGGGAAATAAATTTGACTTTTGTGCCTTTTGTAGGACTTTAAAGGACAGTATACAGTGGCACAAATGTTCAGTGACATTCAATCACTTGACCTTGACCTTACAGAGGAAACTGAACACAAATACAATTTGTTTTGGGTAATTTCTAAATAAACGAAAATAAAGATTTTCCCAATACCCGTCTCAGTTTCCAAAATTCACTGAGTTAACCTTGATCTTTATAGAAAACAGGAAATGTTTTTATAGAAAATTGAAAACCATGAGAAAGGGCAGCTAACTAAACGTTTAAGACATAAAGCAGGAAACATTCCATGGTTGTTTGTGAATCATTATAACACATGTCACAAAACTAGAAAACTGTGTTGAGATTTCACAGTGTTGTGTATCAGAATTCAGTTGGCATAAGTCATGTATGTGGGTGGTTGCTACTGAAAAGACGATCTAAAAATAAATAAATTCAGTCAACTCGCTTATACGGTCAAAAGAATTGTACCATGGAGGTAATACGGGAGGTAATACGGTAGGAAAGGGGAGAGAACGCTATTGTTCTCCCCTGTTCCATGATCGCTTCGATTTATTTACTTGGTAAACATTCCCGTAATGTGATTACTGGAATAATAAGCTTTCAGGCCAGTTTGGAAACAGTCGGAAATAAATTGATACCAAAATCCCACAACATGACCAAATTACAGACCTTTGTAAAGTATTCGCAGTGAGCACGTTAGAAATAGTGACCCAATAACAAGTTTCCATAACACTACCAGAGTCGTATTTCACACATGCAATCTATTTAAAAATCAGTTTGCACGAAAAGACCCGGACCGGAAACAAAATGGTGACCACGTAATCAACTGAGCTTATCTGAAAGTGTCTGGTACAAGACCCACTTGGACCTTTCAAATATTTCAGGGGAAAACTGAGACTTGGTACATTGTGATTACTGTTTTCACTGACATTTAATTTCCACTATTTTAATGTTTTGAGCATGTGTTTTTT